TTACCACCGGCTTCCCGAATTAAGTTCGACACAAGTACGCCGTCTGAACCAGCCGTCGCTCCAAAGTCGCTCTAAACTTGAACTTAATCAAGTTGGTTTGGCACATGAGTGAAGCGGCGTTTGGACCGGGCCTAAAAGTGATAGATGTACTGGATAGATCTTGATAATAACGAAATTCGAAAGTAAAACATCAATTAATTTTTTGCTAGGCGTCGTCATCGGCGTTGCCATCGTCATCACTCAAGCTACCTATTGAAAACACTGCACACACAAGCGACATCTCGTTGAGAGTGCTATTTCACATGCGGCACTCGCAGACCGCGCTGTATAATTAAGTTTGCTCTATTTCTAAATAACCACTTACATGGCTCCATGCCATCTCCGTCATCGCGAAAGCATAAAAGAAACTTGCCTCGGCAGGATTCGCAAGGTTCTGTAAACATTATAAGAAATGATAAAACAAAGTTACTCCATACAATACACACTACGTCCTGTTTCTTTGCGCTGCCGTTAGGTACAGTATTTAAGAGCTACTCATGTTTCAAAATTGGTGTTATCTTATTTAAGCTCTAATCGCAGGCGGTGGTCGAGGCCCATTGACCGCGCTCAGCGGCAGTATTTTGTTCACAGTAGCGGAGTTCTCGGTCAAGTGTACTTGTTTTTCGTCTTCGTTTGGAGAGGGGGAAGGGGAAGGGCTGGCCTCCATTCACGTGGTTGTCGCGTGGTAATCTTCTCGCGCGGTCTCTTTATATAGTGGCAACCTACACAGCTTCATTGCCACGTCTTATTTTAAGAGAGTAGGCTCTATCTTCCAGCCGTTGAACAGCTCTTTCGCGCTTGGCATCTTTTCATATGGACCTCTTCAGTTTCGTATGAAAATTTCCCATTTCGGACCCTGTGATATCTTCTGTAGGATTTTCTTCTTTGTGTATGTGAAAATTTTTCATTCCTTTTCACATAGAATGATAGATAAGTTTGAATGAGGAAGAAATATTTCTCGCCTGTTAACATCACATAGTCCGACATGGGACAAGTAAACGAAGCAGGAGATCTTTTGGCAGCATCTGTGTGGCCACATCACCTCGTTAGCACGATAAAGAGTGGTGGGAAGGAAAGTTGGATTTACTTCTCATACCAAAATCTTCAACCATACGAATACAGCAGCATAAATCAAGTGGGCTACGTTCTGAGAATGGATCAGGCTTGTATTCCTAAGGTTGTCCAGCGTCTAACACTTGACAAAAGGAAATCTGGCAGGTTAAAAACCACCTGGAGCCGAACTGTCATGGCTGAGCTCAGTGAGGTGGCACTCGCACGGAGCGAGGCACAACATGCTGCCAAAAATGAGGCTAAATGGAGAGAGATTGTTATTACTTTATGTCCCACAAGGGACGAAAACGAACGAGTAAGTAAATGGATAATTCGCCGAGATTTGGTCATTTCCAGTACACAATGTGTGGGGACTGGTTTACCAACTGCAGTATGTTAGCAATACTAAGTTGACTTCAAGACGGCTTGTTCCTCGTATTGGAAGAACTCCCTGAGAAGTTAATTACACTTAACGGTAATTCAAAGTTCGTCTTGCCAACTGTACTTGTACCCTAACAAGTTGCGTGATTCAGTGACGCAGTGTGTTTTGCTCAGGTGTTTCAGAGATTATGAGTTGGAATTCTGTCTAAGCGTTACTTTCTTCCAGGCGTCCTTTATACCTTTCTTTGCTTGGCGTCTACGAAGGAGACTTTGTCTTCATTCCTTCGTCCACAGTGTACACTTCTGATCCATTTCCTAAGTCAAAACTACGAAGTCTTATGCTCATCGTTTCAAGGATATAAATAAAACTCGGAATTGGCCTTTTCTTCGTGTCTTCACAGCATAGTCTGAGTGGTTAGGTAGAGGGTTTCATATATCCGAAGGCTGTAGGCTTGGTTTAACTCCTTGCACTTCTTTGATTCCAAGTCATACAATGGTGTCAATACACTTTGCCAACGAGGATACTTGTAGGTCTTCATAGCTACATATGCTTGGACCAGGTTCAAGCATAAACAGTTTTGAGGTGGAACACTCTTTCATTACTGGTCAGGTAATGCTCATTATTTTTTTCAAGCTTTGCCTTTATTATGTGCTGTCTTTTTACGTATCTTCACCAGTTTCAAATTCAGTATCGCTTCTTCCTTCGTGACGTTGCAGTGTCCCACTTTCTGGTGGCTACCTCTTCAATCCATCTCCGCACGTACGGGCTAATATTAAAAGTAACTCGAACAGGCACCGCTTACCTGCTACGAATGGTGCGTTAGCTTTGCCTTTTGTGTATATTTTGCCTTTTCTCATGCCGGTTTTTGATATCATTCTCCACCCATTTCATTGTTCGTTGTTATGAGCTAACTACAAACGTCACTTCGCACAAGTTCGACTTGGCTGCCAGCCTGCCACGATGGTGCGCTTATCTTGCTTTTGCGCCAGTTTTACGTATTACTGTGATGCCGCCTTCTTTTGCGCCAATTGTCTAACCTTCTTAGTCAACTTTGCTTTCTTCTGCGTCATATTGCCTTGTCCTGCATTACACGTTATTTCCCTTCTTCCGCTTCACTTTTTTCTTCATTCATACAGTGGCGGAAAATTCGTTGAAGGACCTCTGAAACTGGGTCATTGCTTGATAAGGTGGAAAGCAAAGCTTCGTTTCTTAGAAGGTGACCGTCTCTTGCTCCCGTGCCCACGTCACCAGGCCACAACAGTTATACATTGAGTCACGCAATTCTCTTGAAACGTGACAGCAAAAGCGGTTGGGAAATTTTGCGTTACATTACTTCGGTTGTTTACTCTGTAAAATACACCTACGTTCGGCAAGTCTCTTTACGAGAGGTGTCTTGCAACAAAGGAGGTTTAGCATTCTGATCTTCTTTTTGTCGCCTGGCATTGTTCTATGGAGGCACCTTCAAGTATCCTTACTTTGACCGTTAACTCTGTAAAATACGCCTACACATAGCGAGACTCTTCAGTGCGTCATCTTGTTTGGAATGTCACCTTGTTAGACAGAGGGTTTTGCATTCTAATCGTCTTTTTGTCGTTTGGCATTGTTTTATGGAGAAGCCGCAAAATAGATAGACATGGCCGTCGATTAAATCGATCTTGTTTTGCCATGAAACCAAGCTCTTGCGCTAAATATTTGTTTAACATTACGGTGCACGAACCACTCAATACAATCAGTCGACAAGATGGGTAAAGCACAGACTGAAAACATAAGCACAAACAACAGGACTTCTTTCTATCGTCATCTTCTGCCTGACCATCGCTTCGCGTCTCTAATTATTGTAACTCACTGGTATGTGACTAAACGAACTTTGGGTGGTAACGTCGTCCTTTGCGGTGACCAATGTTGTTAGAGAGAACTGTGGCTGCTCAGAAGGAAAATATTTCTTAACGGAAAGTCTTCTAAGGTTTGAGGTTTATACGTTTTCTCAATTAAACGTTGATTAGTGTTACCGTCGCGTTAACCGGTGGTCCTAGATGGCGCTGGGGCACTAGCTACAGCATCAGAGAACGTACATGAGGAGGAAGACACAAATCACAAATATTTGTTTTTCAACAGAGCCCACAGGAGAGGTAAAATAATAATCAAAATTGCTGAAAATACAATAAGACCAAAGCCAAATTCAACCGTTCTGGTCACGAATACACAATTGTCTTTTTAATACCAAATCAATGCCAAATCTTGACATGACAAGATTAATGAAAAAGAAAGAAAAGAAGCTCAAATTAAGGGTCATGCCTCATTGATAAGCTCTCCTAGCAACCACAAGGACAAGACGCCTGTAATTTATGTTAGGACTAAAGATCACACACTATTACAATGAGGAATAAAGTAGTACTAGAAGAACAAAACCACCTTGATCCCAGTCTACATTTTCACCTCCTTAGTTTCAACAACAAAAAGGTAACACTACCTGTCCAAAAAATACAATGGTCACAAAACGATACCATCTTGATTCAAGAATGAAAATTCTAATTCTCTACTTTCCAATTGCCCATACTTCACTGTGTTTGCCCCCCAACTTTCGCAAAAACTATTGTCGTGGAATGCTCTTGGGAATATGCAGACCTTCCAAGAGCATTTCACAACAACAGTTTATGCAAAATTTTGGGGGCAAACACAGTAAATTATGGGCAATTGGAAAATAGAGAAAGCAAATTTCATAAGTAGTGATGTGGCAAAATTGATTTCCCTGAGAAATCATCTACTGGTACAACTTCAGGTTGTAAACACAGTCAGGACACATTCACAGGGGGTCTGGGTACTTACTACTCAAAATGTGACATACACAAACAATGTCTGGTAGGGGAGGGGAGTGAAGACCTCTGAAGCCCCCCCCCCCCTTTGGATTAACTTATGGGTGTATGATAAATTGTACAAGGCAACATGAACTCAATAAATAGGCTGCTTAACCCTCAAGAGTGATCAGGCTCCAAATTCTCTTTACTTTCTTGTATCAAAATCAAGAAGGCAGATTATGATAATTCAGAGCCTGATCACAGCAGGAAAATACTCATATCTGATGCTGACTAATAAACTAAAATCAAAAGGAGAAGTGGCCTCATTATCATTGTAAACTTAACTGAATCAAACAGCCTTACATAGGGGGCTCATTAGCACAGTAATGAAAAGTTAACATGGTCTCCCATTGAAGAGGATTTGCACCCCATACTGCGCAGTCCCAGCGCAGTCCCAGCACCCCAATGTTTTTGAGTCTGTACTTTATTTTTGAGGCACTTTGAATTCTTTTTCCAGCAGTTTCTTTGATTTTTACAACTATGAATTTGTTTCATCAAGTGCTGTCAGAAGGAATGAAGCATGAAGCTTCACATCCATAATGGCAGCTGACACTCTCGAGAGTGCGCAGTACAGACTGGAAATCATCTTTACGATAGCTGGGGCAGTTATAGCCTGCACTGCAGATATCCATTCTGGCTTGTCAAGCAGTCCTCCCCAACGAACTGACAAGCCAAAAGAATGCCTGGATGAGAGGCTATGGCAGTTAGACAACTGCTAGCATGTTCTAAAGTATTTTCAGTAAAGATTAATTACATGGTGGGACAACACTAGAGGTTATGTGGAGGGGACATGTTACAACAACATTTAGTGGTATTAAAAGTTTGTTCTAAACCAAAATTTCCACACGCAATAAGCATTAAACAGTGAAAACACAATGTGAGTACACAAAAAAAGTAGTGCAGCATATCATAGTGTTTTGCTAAAAAAAAAAAAACAAATGGTATAAAGGGTGATGCAGCAAAGTTATTCACATGAAGATACATTAGCATTTCTGTACATTTGTGCATGATATGCCTCATGTGACATGAGGGCTGCAAAACCTGCTCTATAAAATGATTTAAATGTGTTAGTTCAAGCAATGGGAAGGGTACTTGTACATCAAGTCATGACATAAACATCATTATTGTAACATTGTCCTTGGAATTGTCTTTGAGATTATGCTGCCAAAGACATTCAAAATACATGTAGATCTTAAGATGGTTATTAACAGAGGGAAACTCTCTCCCTTACAAAAATTGACAATTTCATGATAGATATCACCACAAGAAAATAATTATTCATAAATTGAATAACAAAATATTAACATAATTATATGCTAGCTTATGTCAATAACAATCTAAAAATAACAATCAAAAAAAGACCCAGGCTCACAAACCATACTTATTTTCAACCCAAGACCAAAAAAAGTTGAAAACCTTATGAACAAGCTGATCAACTTGTAGTAAGATACACCTCAAATATAATGACAGAAATAAAAACAGTACCTGGTCTATAAATAATTACCTAATAATGTTCTGTTAAATGCATAGACAAATAAGTGCAATGGCTAATTTCAATAACAATATTGTTTATATCCAGCAAGTGTAAGAGTGAAAGGATGAAACTAAGCAAATTCACTTTTTAAAGATCTGCTGAAACTAACTTACTGCAGTCGCGACTAAGACAAAGAATTACTGCAAAAATTGGATGGATGGTTTTATAGGAATACAAGTGAAAGACTCAAAGTCACATGATTAATTTACACAACAAAAATACTTTACTGACAAAAGAAATAGGTTATAGATGTGCTTGTGACCAGCAGTTAGTTAACATTCAAACTATACATTCAAAACCACTGAAAGAAAAACATCAACAGAAGCACACTTTCAAATGACTATGGTATATAAACCTTGAGCAAACTCTTGAGCATGCTAAAAATACTATCTATATTATCATACAACATAAAACAAAGACACAGCTTGGGAACAAGGATGGTTAAATGATGTGAAATAAAATATTTCAACATAAATACACATCCTGTAGATAAGTGTATATAGTGGTCATCATTTAAAAGTAGTGTTATTAGTTTGATATTTTTAAATACAGTTGAATCTGGATTATCCGTACCTCAATTATCCGGATTTTTTCTCTAGTCCCAACTTTGTCATGAATATTTATTAGTCACAATCAAGATACAAGCCTTAGTGTGGTTCCTAACGTGATAAAGTTTCTTGGCACGGAAGGCGACCTTGGTGATGACCAAGGAGTGGTCAGAATCACAGTCAGCACTGTGAAATACATGGGTTGTACAAATGGTGTGTAGATTGTCCGATAATGCCAATACATTTTTAAATACAGTCGAATCTGGATTATCCGTACCTCAATTATCCGGATTTTTTCTCTAGTCCCAACTTTGTCATGAATATTTATTAGTCACAATCAAGATCCGTAGCAACATATTTTTTTAAAACTATAGCATTGAAAGGTGCAGTCAAAAGCGAGTTTGTTTTGCTTTTAAAGAGCAAAAGCATCGTAACCGATGAAGAACACTCGAATGAGTTCTGATTGGCTCAGAGTTGAGTGGTTCAAGATGTGCAGTAGACCATATTGTTTTCCAAACGATTTGTAAAAGTGTTGTTTTACGGTTAAATGTTGCTTTATTTAAACAGTTTTGTTCTTCATTAATATTCACATTTTCGATTATCTGGACCCTGGATTATCCAGACTATTTTGTCTAGTCCCAATGAGTCCGAATAATTGAGGTTTGACTGTAAAACAAAAGTGAAACTTACATGTCGACACTTATGCGAGTCAAAGATCATTTACCACATAATAATAGGAAATGTTTTGTTTATGCTAAAATTATATTTGTAAAGTTTTGAGGTGGGGAGCAAACCACATAGTCAATGACTGGAAAGCTAATGATGAGGTTTCTTCAATCAGTAAAATTCCATGGCAACCACTACTTAGCTTCACCACTTGTAATAATTTATTAATTTATTCAGCTTTAAAAACCATTACAGGAAAGTTATCACCTTTCACACTGTTCAATAAAACTAAAATACAATCTGAATTTTATTACTCTCTTTCATAAGGAAAGCAATCTACTGCCATGAAAGATACAAGCAATTATAACACTCAGAAAATTTAACATAACTATTCACATACGTTTACCTTTAGCTACTTACAGTGTTATTGTTTATGTTTACAACTCACGAAGCTTGTTTACCAACCTGTATAGATGTCTATTTTCTGTGAGGAAGCATCTCTAGAAAGAAAAAATAATTAAACAACAAAAATAAACTCTGAATAAACTGATGACACAGTCAATGAGCAAGCCTACTAAATTTGCAATAACAATGAAGTCAATACTATCATAAGGCAGGTGATATGTCCACTCTATTTATTTTGAGTCCTAGTCAATCATTTTACAATTCTTATTAACAGCCAGATACAGGATAATGGAACAGAAGTGGGCCAAATCACTGTCATAAGTTTGAACACTATCATCATAATATGAATCTAAACAACAAGGATTGTAATTTCCGTTCGTTTAGGACTCTCAACTCTATGCTTAATCATTCCGTCCTCCGTTTTAACGAAAATAGAACCGACATGACGTCGGTCAAAAAATGGCAAACCGCTAAAAGTAGGGGAAGTGTCAAGATATCAAATGTCAGTAAAGAAGCGCTTATAATCCTAGCCGATGAATATCTAGCAGTCTTAGCTCTCACATGTAAATACTCAATTCACCGTAAAGTGCCCTTACGATAAACTTGCTTGACTAAGCATTTTCAGATTTCATTCAATGGTTTACCTTGCGTTGTCGACCAACTCCGCCAAAGCGCCAAAGAGGAATTCATGAGTAGTACTGCAGTTGATAGAAGTAAAGAACGAGTTATAAATTCATACAATTAACACTTTATATACTCAAAACAAGTCTGGGTTACACGCTTCTAGCTAGAGGGCAAAAAATTTGCAAGTCCTACGCACCATTTTCATGCGTCGATGAAAGTTGCTGACTTGCGAGTTTAGTAACTCGATAGTCATGTTGAACACATTCATCTGCTATCTACAACACCACAAAGCTTATTCCTTGCACGCGTCTGCTAACGTAGAAACGATTCGGAAACTCCATAGACGAATTGTCCACGTTTTGTGTATGTAAATATTAATCAATTCTCCCTTGGTGCGCATTAAATGGTCAAACATGTGCGTGCGTATGGGCTTACGAGCGATCCAAATACCCGTACACATGGTTTCAAAAACCTAGTCAAGGTGAATATTTCGCTCAACATTAAAGCGGCGGCAAATAGCGGGAAAGCGGCGGTAAACTTTTGTCGTGGCTACCTGTTGGTGTGCAGATAATCGTAGGTCAGCTGGGCCCTACGAAGAGAAGAATATACACCGCTTGTCATTTCGTCGTTGGACTTCACCTCGCGCCAGTCGACTGCTTCTGTCTCCTGATCCTTCACTTGAGAAATGGTGTCCCGTCCTAATTTGAGATTACCCCCAACCTCTCTAAAATGCAAAACAAACTCGTTGGTTTAGAGATAGGGGCGTCACTAACAGCATAAGCCGAGCTGGCAAGTTGCAGCCCTGAAGCACTCTCTAACAACAAGGAGGTCGCTCTGCAAAATATACATGAACATCGACATACGGGTGTCAAAACTATTACAATGTGACTCTCATGCGCGCGAAGGCAAAGAGTTGTCGCCATTTAATTGGCTAATATGCTCAGAATTGACAGGGCTATAGTCTTTTCTGAAATCTCATTGGCCTCTTTTAAATATGACGCAATCGCGTTGGGATACCGCGCCCGCCATTGTGACAAATATTTCGGTTTGAAGCCATTTCGTGGTCGCTCAAAGAGTGAATTGTGCGTGAAGATCGTCTCATTTTAACCTAATTTTTCTCTTCTGTACTAGTGTCAAGGAGTGTCCACATGAAACGCCCTTTGGTAAGTCGAAATTTTGGCTCGATAAGCAGAGGTAAAGGATTGTGTTCGTCCGGATTGAAATCCGAGATGAAACGGTAAGATTGTATTGTTCATGGATTCTTGTTTGCTTGACATGTCATGAGTGTGCTAGCTGCGTTTGAGATTGTTGTGTCGATATTTCTTTGCTAGACAATGCGAAAAATATCCCGAGTTTAGTTGTCTTTAGTGTGAGAAAGGGTTGGCAGTAAGGATGTGATGAACAGGACCGAATGGAAAATTTCCTTTGTTGTGTCTTTCTTAAGATATTGATTAAGCATATTAATGATTAGGAAAAGGTTGACAGAACACCTGGTACATGTAGTGAATGTCTTCATTATGTCCAATATCTCACAACATTTCGCTGATCCAACTCTAGCAAGTGTCTACTTTAGTGTCGACATTGCGGCAATCGACACTGTTTACTTTACTGTTTAGCTTTCATACAGCGAACTACATGATGCAACTGCCACTAACTTCTCTCGAGAGAGTACGGTAATCTTTGAACCTTGATCATTCAATGGACCTAAGGCATATTTTTCCACATATCATCTGCTAGAATGTTCGTTACGCTTTACATAGTGTTGCTAAAGATCCAGCGTAGTTTTAAATATAACGAATTCATCACCAACCTTGTCATCACGATATGGTTGGCGGTATTTATCAGACATATTGACTATATTTTAGTCGCAAAGTCGGGAGAATTTATAGCAGAGCTTTAAAACGCTTGCTTTTAGTTTTGGCGAGGTTTGCAAAGTTTTTGTAAAATATCTTGATCAAAGTAATCCAAACCACGACGCGTCTGCTCATTCAACCGTGTGTCAGTCACGCGCTATGAAAGATATGACGTATGAAAGTGAAAGGGGAGCTTGGTCTTTGTCTCTGCACAGAATCTATTCATAAACACTGAAAGATCCTTGGAGGAAAGTGAAAGCACGAGACTTGACAGAAAGTGATGACAGATGCTTTTGCTTTCGACCAGGGGGCATACCACATGTCAAAGTATTTCCTGTCGGCACGACAAAGTAAGCGCAAAGTTCGCCTTTTGATAGTTAAAAATAGACATAGAACAAATGAAACATAAACAGCAAGCCCCTGTCATTCCACAGTCGACTGCC